AGGGAGGGAGGGCGGCCGGTGACGGGGGGTGTTCCCGCCGAACAGTCGACAGGTGAGGGGGAGGCCGGGCCGGCGTGAGGAGAACCCCGGGGGCGTGCAGAGCCGTCGGGTACGGGATCTCTTCAGTAAAGACCGGGACTTCTTCGGTAAGTTCCGACCGAGGTGGCGGCTCCGGTGGTGAGGGCTTTCGGCAGCTGCTGCCCTCACTGTACGATGTTAGCTGGGCGGGGGGACACAGAGCCCTGCTCAGGGGAGCCTGGTGTGCGTGTCCACGGGTGGGCAACAGTTTAGGCCTGTTCTCCTGTAACGCCAGCATAGACAGTATTTTTAGCAAAACTGAGGCTACTCTCCCGGTGTAGGAGGTGTCAGAAGGATGTTTGCCTGTGGACTGGCAGCTTGCTGGGTGCAGCATACGTGGACCACGGCGGGACAGCGCTGGCCGGGGCTGAGCAGAGTTTGAATCGCAAGCTGTGGTCTACCGGCCTCCTACGAAAACCCTTGCAGAGGGCGAAAGATAGGCTCGTGACCCCGGCATCGCATTTTGGGGAGAAAAAGAGGGGTGTAACGTGCTTGAAAAGCATATTCTGCAGTGCCCCTGCTCAAAGTTCATGGACGTTTAAAATGAAAGTTAAATAACAAAAGGGATGTTTTTCTTGATACACAGGTTGAACGTTTATAGTTTGGGTTACAAAAAAGCTCAGAGCTCTGAGGGATGTATTGTAGGTAGAGAGTTATAGCTCTTGAATGCATTGTTAAACACTCGAGTAAGAGCCCTGCAGTTGTCAAGTTAGGAATCCTTGTATTTAATGCTCTGTGTCATTCCCCTGTCTCTAAAAACAGGGATAATGATGCACACTGAAGGAGACAATGTTCAGAGAAGGGAAAAAAGATCATGATTTGTTTGACTCAAATTAAGGTACGGACAGCAGCAGAACAACAGGGCACCTTACAGTTGCAGGAGATGTCTGGCTTTAACTATGAAAAGTTTCCTTGTCCCATTGGAGTTCTCCGAAATCTCTCTCCTCTCCAATACAGTCTAGTAGATGGAAACTCCTTTAGTATTTATGCAAAAGTTCGTTCAGTCCAAACTCAATAAACCTCGAGCACAGGAGTGGACAGCTGAGCTGGGGCAGCCTGAGGTGGCACAGATCACAAATAGATGGTGAGGTCTGTGGGAGCTGTTGAGATCCAGGTTCAACAGGTGCCACTGAAGCAATCAGTGGCTGTTCTTCCCCTTCTCTAATTAATAAATATAGCAATTTGTAACATTCATAAACATGTAAATAAAGCTAACATTTTGCATTGAGCTGATGCACATTGTATACACTGCAGATTTCTCAAAATATATTTCTCTACATTCCTGTGTTTTGCCCAGTCCTGATGCATTTCAGAAACCAAATAAGATACTAACAGAAGCAGAACATACTTTTAAGTTGGTATCAAATACAGCCCAAGTCTCAAGACAAAAAAAAAAAACCCACAGTCTCTGTAGGCCAATCTGTTAACTAAGTGAAATTACTTGGTTTTCCCCTTTGACCAAAGCTGACCTCACGGAACATCTCACATCCTCTTACTGGTGCAAAACAGTGAAGGGCAGAACCACACACAGAAAGAGACAGTCCATCCTCCTGCTCACAGAGCCACTTCCAGCTCCCCAGATTTGAGGCATACTCGGAGGAGGAGGGTGGATACTGATGCCACAGTATCTTGTCTTAAAAATGGCAAAGGAATAACCTGCTATCGAGGCATCTCACTGTACTTTGGTCAGGATGATATTTCCTAGTATGTTCAAAGCGAGCTCTGAGAGCTATTCTATAGTGATCTAAGCTTGGTCGAAGCATTGTTGTAGCCTACTTTAGTAACCAAGCTGAGGTGGCTAAACTACTGTGTTGGAACTGTTGCTGTTACTGTGTTAAGGGTTAAGAAGAAAGCAATTTTGGTTTCACACAAACAGTGATACACTGATATACCACCATTCACTGTGCTTGCAGTTTATGTACAGTGGTATAATTTAGCCTTGAAAAAACCCCACAAGTCAGAATACTTAACTGCAGAGATGATTCACCTAGCCATAAAAAAGCCAGATTAAATTGTAAGCTGCTTTTCAGCATCATTCACTGAATATAGCTGGTGACAAAGCTCTATGAGAAAGCTCAGGATCCATGCGTGATGTGTTTGGAACTTACTGCAATCTAGAAGGAAAAACATTACAAACATCTGCACTATATGGTTTCACTTAAATGGCTGCCCACATTTCCCTGCTGAGTAACTGAGAACTTATTCTCTGGTTCGTACTTTGAGTAGCTAGCCTTTTCTTTCTTCAGACTCAGTTACAGTGCTGGAAAATACTGGCTTTGCATGTGTAGAGGATCAGATCACAGCATTTCCTAAGGTGTCTCAGATTTTTATATGGATACCCTGCAGTTGCTCAGATTTGGGAACAGAATTTAGTTCACAAGCAGGTGTCTGTGCTGCATGCAAGAAGCTTAAAAAAACAAAACCCAAAACTGAACAAGAGTTATTTGTTGTCTTTAGTGCCTTGTGAAGCACTTCTGCAGCAGATAGCTGGGATTTTCCAGGAGGCAATAGGGAAATACCTAGCTGGTGGCAATTCCTCCTTTAGGTCTCCCTGATACTCCAGCTTTTGCATTCATTTTATACGTACTGTCATGTCAGTCACTTCTAAACGCTATATTTTGTTTCGTACAAATTCTGACTAAGAGCCAAAAGTGCTTTATACACATTTGAAATGTTACTGCCTACAGTCTACTGCATTTGTAAAAATCATTTGACGCCTTCTAGCGAGAGGCCTGCACTGTAAAGCACAGCACGCAGGCCCAGACTGCACTAAATGCTCAATTTTAAGTCCATAAAGTAAACCTCACTGTCACTGCTAAGTGACACATTTCTTCCAAAGGTAAACCTACCTGTGAGATCCTCATGAACTAGTTGGCAGCGATTTCCAGTCGTGGGTGTTTCAGAGGTCTGAAGTGCAACACAGCCATTGCAACAGATGCGAGATGGACCGCTGGGAAGAGTTCAGCACAGAGCAGTCTGTCACTTAGCTGTGGTCACCGAACAAGTCTTTGATCACGTGGTGGGAAGTGACAGTTGTCAGCTCTTGTTCCAGTGGTTTCATTATTTTTACTGTCAGCCAATTTACTATAAAGTATACACAGTCGCTATCCACTAGTATATGAAGTATTTTAATGCCACACTGAGGCCAGTTTTTTTGGTACTGCAGTGATTTCATGCTGTATTTTCACTTTTTTCTTGGTAGTTCTGACTCATTTCATCATGACTTCTTTTGAAGAAGCTGAAACTGAAGAAACAGTAACTTGTCTCCACATGACCTTTTACCATCCTTGCCAAGAACACAAGATGATGTTTCGTTGCTTGAACTTCTGTAAGCGAGAACAGGTCAGGGCAGATGAAACAGCCAAGTTTGGCCGCGATTCTAATGTCTGCCATTATAACCTAATGGATGCTCGTGTTTCTCGGATTCAGTTTTCACTGCAGTTTTACAGAAAACTGAACAGCTCAGAATTTTGTTTTGAGATAAAGAACATGAGCAAGAAAACAAAACTGTTTGTGGACCAAACAGAACTGGGTTACTTAAACAAAGTCGACCTGCCAGGGAAGTGCATCATTTGTTTTGGGGACTACCAGGTTTTAGCAGAGATTCAAGAAGGGGAGTCTGTGGATTATTTTGAGACTCACTTACACTTGACTGAAGTGCCAATCTTACAAGAAAGATGTCTGCCATCACTACAACCTGTACCAGAGAATGGCATTTCTTCTTCCTTGTTTCCTTCCCAAGGCAAAAGCCCCATAGAGATTGATGAAAACGAGCCATGCTAGCAGGGAGAAGGAGGCTGGATCAGATTTTGATCACTGGAAACCTGCACAGCTTCCGAAGTTGAAGGCTGTCATCTCAGTCCACTGTTCTTGATGGTCCTCACTGCTGCACCTCAGTCATCTTATTTGCTGTTTTCAGCATAGCCATACCAGAACATACCTTGTTCAACAGAAACACATTCCTGCCTCTGTCTTCACCAGGGCTGATGTGCTCCCTGATCACCACCATTTGCCACGTAAACGTGTGAGCACCACTCAAATCCATTGCAGCAGATTCAAGAACTGTGACCACGTACCTTGAAGGTAGATTTAATAGGCATTAATATAGAGCACGCAAAACAGTGTTTTAGCCCCAGCATTGGTTAGCAAAAAATAACATCTCACTGCATTTGTTGTGCTTTGCTTTTGACATGAAATTCCAAACAGTATTTTCAAGCCTAGGTTGTACTTCCCAGATTTTGTAGCTTAGAAACACTTTGTCAGCATCATCCTTTAAAGTTGCTTTTATTAAATTCCAGCAGAATTTTTCTTCTACTTAAAATAAATTAAAATCTATTTAAAATGAATTAAAAATTTCAAGTTAACTACTTTTGCTTGTGAATGTAAGTAAACATGCCATGTCAGTGATCATGGTATGTAAAAATCCAGATAATTTCTGTAATAAAAGCATTTGCTTGCCTAGTAAGGATTTGCTGTCTTCTACAACTAAGTCTAAGAGCACTTATGGTGAATAAAATTATTTCCAGGACACTCTAGGTAAGAAACTTTCACTGGCACTCCTCTGGGCTTTCTCAAAGTGGCATTACTCAAGATGAAAGTTGACAAATACTTTCAGCAAGTGTTCTACCTCTGCCCCCCCATCCCAAGCTCTTACAATTTTGTTTTCAGGTTGTCTCAGTTAAGTTTTTCTTTGCTAGGGCCTCAGCTTATCATGGGCACTTGTTTTTTGTCCCATATATTAATTTGCTTGAAAAAGACACTGGAAAGAATCAGAACAGAGCATACATAAGAGTTACCCACCTTATCATCCCTAAACATTAGGATGCGTTTCAGCATTAATCATTACAGGCAAACCACAATTATAAACTGAGGGGAGGACAGCAAATTACACAACATAACCTGAGATTAAGGCAACCAACTACATGTGAAAGACAGTCACAGGAGAGGCAATGAAACTCAAACACAGGCTTCCCAAGGATTTCATTTGTCTGTTCATCTCATCCTTGCCAAAATACCTTGTTCCCCTGTTTTCTACTCTTTAAACTAGACACTGGTACTCTCAACTTTTACAGTTTTTAGCTTAGATGTGCAATTCAGCCACCATCTTGGCACAAACACCAGTCATACACCCAGCCCCTCAGCTTAACAAAACAAACCCCAGCAGGTGTCACCATGTCAGCACATACTGCTGCTACTGGTTGCAGATTTCCAGCAGCAGCAGCTCACCTTTTACATGCTTCTGACCAGAGTATTTCTACTCTAATTAGACAGAGTGGCTAATACCTGCAAATGCAAGCTGTCTAGAAAAAGAGAGCAAGATGCAAATACCATCTGAGACAAGCTCTTACATATAAAAGCTTTTACATTTAAATCAGCCTCTCTAACAAAATGCATGGCATTTCTTACATTCACTAATTTAGCTCATGTGAGGGAAGAAGGAGCATTAGTTTTGCATTCCAGTAAACAGCTCCCTACTAGTGCTCTTAAATTATTACAGATTATATGGATGTTCTTGTTTTGTACTGCTTTGGGCTTGAAAAAACAGGTTGCTAACTACTACCACTAAGCAGTACAGTTACCCAGTTTCAGTTCACTGGCCTGTCAACTCCTCTGTTACTGCAGCTTGTTAGAGCTTCTCTTCCAAAGTAGGTCTCAGAAGGGATGCTATGGAACTCAGTAGTTAAGAGACACTGGTTATTATTTATTAAAGCCTTCCTTAGCTGACGCATAGGTAATTTTGGGTAACATTTTAACAATTCATCTTCACATACTGCTTCCACTATATATGACATGGCAGCCACAAAACCAACAACAGATAAAACATTGCCAAACATAAGACTGAAAATTTTAATGACTTAAATTTGTACAGATAGGCATTTTACAGTTTGTTGAATTGCTCCACATGAGCTGTTTATATAATCTTTCTTAAATTTCCACAAATATTAACCATAGTTTCAGTGTGGTGCACTAAACCCTGAAAAGCAGAATGCTGTTAGCCACAGCTATGGAACATGCCCATCACCATAAAAGCCCTCACCTGGAGTCAGCTTCCTTTTTCCCCCCAAGTGCTTGTTCATTCTACAAGCAGGACTATCAACTAGTCTTCTTCCTCCAAGCATGGTCAGGACAAGTTAACCACCTGTTCACTGGTCAGGAAAAGTAGTGACCACTGCAGGCAAAGTACAGTTTTGGCAGGTAAAAAACCATGTTATTTACACATTGAGAAAGTTGCCTTCATTTCCATAGGAATCGATTATACAAATAAATGTTCACAGTAGTAGTAGCTTATGCCAAACCAAAAATATACATTTGATGTGTACAAATTTTTAAAGCTTATTACAGGCATTGCAAACTTAATTACATTAAAATATTTTCAATGACATAGCTACAATTTAGGAAATGGAATGTTATCAACAAGATTTATCTATTCATTAGCGTTGATGTTTGTACATATTTAATCCAAGTATGCAGTATTTTTGTTCAAGTTACCATGAAGAGGACAACACTGTAGTGATCCTGGTACTATACTTCAGCTTAGATGATCAAAAACAGTGACACAACTTTCACCAACAAATTCAGTCCTTCTGATGATGCAGATTTATATGCTGCTTTTACTCCACAACAGTGAAGTTACACCCTGTCACCCTTTTTTCAGGGAAAAACAAGACAGCTACACAAAATAACAGTAGAGTAGAATGGCTTTACTGAAACTTTGGAGAAAGCTTGAGATCTACAAGTGTTTTGCACGTTCTCTTCAATGAGCTTTTTTTAAAAAGCATAACTTACATTAAATATTGGGGAGACCACACAATACATTACACCAGATTTGCAGTACCTGAAAACTACCTTGAATTTCAGTCCATATTAGTCCAGTTTAGAGGCACAAGAAAACTAGAGCACTTAAACACAGTGTTTTGTAACTTGAACTATTTTTTTCTTGCTAAAATGCAGATACAGGAATTCAGTCTCTACGTTCTTGTTCTTCCCACCCCAGCAGCAAAGCAATCAATCATCCCTCCCCCAGTTTGCTCACAGAATGTCGCTTTTCAATACTTGTTCCTGTCAAGCTGAATTAAAAGTCTTACACAACTGAAGAATTTTAAGGACCATGTAGGAACAGGTGTTGTCTGTTGGGAGGGATGAGGGGGCAAGGAAAATCAAGACTTTGGTCCTCCCAGGTCTCTACTAGATACTGGTTAAAATTTCCCATTTGACACAAAGAATTTTATAGTTGTTTTTCTATCTAGCACACACTAAGTCCGGCATATTATACAAGACAGTATCTTACCTAACCTGATGATTTATACTATGTTTGAGGTTAACTGTGCTTAGCATAAAGGAATAAAAAAGAAATAAATGGAAGGAGGACAACACAAGGCTAGGAAGACTATAAGCTAGACAAGGAAAAACTACTATTTGCCATGTGTGAAATTTGTTTTGCAGCTGGCTAAGTTCACCCTCCAAAGAGCTAAAGAACCAGTCAAAAAGCACATATTGGAAATAAATATTTTAAAATTCTTTCTATATTCAAGTATTAGATAAATTATATGAGACTGTTTTGAGAAATGTTAGGCCAACGATTAACTTTAAAAACAAAATCAGTAGAAACATCATCCAGAAAAAAGGCTAGTTAAAATATAGATATGTCAAGCTATGAAGCTTCAATTAGTGCAGGTAATTTTATATTAAATCCAGATATCCAGAAATATGCACAATAGAATCATCCCAGTTTTCATAAAAGTTTAGAAGGTAGATGACAAAATTGCACTTAATTCAGAATTAATTCAGATATAGCAAGTCATTCCCATTCCTTGCTGATCCATTTATCAGAAAAAGGGAACCATGTTATAAAAGAGCAAGTTAGTTCTGTACATTCTATTTCACTTTTCAACATTTGGTCATAAACAAGGGCCACGCAGTTCTACTATCTGTCTTGACGATCGGAATCAGATATCCTTACATCCGATGCAGACAAATCTAATACAGGATTTACAAATCCAGCATATTCTGAATTGCCATTATCATCCATTTCAGCGCTAACAAAGTCATTCTCCCACTCCAAGCCGTTGGAATCGTCAGAGGCCGAAGCTGGATTACTTCCTGGCTTCTTGCTATTAAATTTCAGTGCTGCCCGGAGTATATCTTCTTCTGTTCTGGAGCGTTCTCGCATTGGGATCATTCTGTTCATGCCTGCAATTTAAGACATGTTTATGAGAGACATAATTTTGAGGGAAGTACCTTTACATTTGTGTTAGAACATCCTAAGAAACAACATGAATCCTTTAGAGATCCAGACTCTGGTAATTTCTCTGCTGAGCATCACTGTATTTTTTCTGGTAGTGTTCACATTAAACCCATCATTTGCAGTCAGTTTTGGCCCAGATGAACACAACAGACAGTGATGCTGTTTTACACAGTTCTAAGGAAGACTGACACCACAATGAAACAACTCACTAGCAATGTTTTTCTCCTATATATTACATAATGATTATGCACCACCAGTAGTAGTACATAATTATGCCTAGTTCAGGACCTAGACATTCCCACTGAAGAACCTCCTAATCTGACAACTTTTGAGCCAAGCAATGTCATCCTCTGTTACTTAGTGGTTGTTTTTAAAAGGCTAATACCCTTTCAAAACAGCAGTTCTTCTCTGCTTTGTGTTCAGTCCCTGTACAGCTTTGTCTACCAACAGTAAAAATGTGTGACTAGACCATAAGTGAATATCCCAGATCACTAAGCCCACACACACACTCAGTCTCCACAGTAGATTTTGACAGCGC